TGCGTGGATTTTATTTAAAGGAGACCTCTATTGGGCAACTCTGTGTGGCTTTTTATTGACAAGGACATACTAATTTTCATTTCAGTTTTGAATTCAAAAACTTTGCATTCAGGCTTAGGTTCCACTTCAACTTTTGAAGGTTCCCAAGAGTGATTTTCTGCTCGAAATTTTCTATTAGGCGATCTTCGTTGACTTGCCTCTTCATTTGGGATACGGCGCTGCACTGTACCTCTATTCAACTAATAGAGCAACGATGTTTAGCCTACGGATAAATTATATTCCCCAAGTTTCAGTCTCCTAACAAACTGATAGCCAAGTAAAATTTGGACTTGAGTTTTCATATGCTTCAAATGCGTTGCGTAGTGTAATGGTTTAAGACTGCATCAGCAGCAGGGTCCGGTTTGTATCCCCTTTTTGGAGAAAAAGTCTTCCACCGTCCATATTTGGTGCAAACCTCGTTTTTTTAAACATATAGCCTTATTGGCTACTGTTCCTTTTAAAAATAGAAATAAATAGATTAAAGTATTAGAAAATATCTATTTTTCTTAATGAGCTTGAATGCGCGCAACGTCATCTAATGGTCCCTGTTGTTAATATTGTACCACCATTCAGAAAAATTGAAAGGAGCAAGTGAAGAAGTAATTTGCAATTTCCCTTTATTTTTACGGCTGCACAAAATTCTCAAACTGTCTTCCCTCCCTTAAACTACAATAGGAAAAGAGGAGAATCATTCAATTTCCAAAATGGAAATCCCACAATGTTTGTGTTGTTGCGGAAAAACAGTTACGTAGTCAGAAAAGTTATAAAGGTTTCTCTACTCAACTCAAATAACTCAAAATATTTGAGTAAGGTTTATAATATGATTACTAGATAAATAAAATTGAATTTTTACTTCAAATAATAACAGTAGATACCTACTAAAGTTAGGGTAAATAACGTCCAAAAATCCACTTTACGATCCCTATCAACGTAGTGGAGTTTTACATACTGCTGCGATGCTTTGCACTGCACCACCACACTCAGCTTGTCAAGGCTCCACGAATCGTCCATCCATCATCGTTCATCAGGAAAATCCTTTTGATGTGAGCGACTTGAGGGATTTTTGTGGGAGATGAAGGAGTTGGCAGAGCAAGGTTGTGCATGTTGTGATTTTTCATTGCTGTACACTTGAAAAAAATCAAATCCACGATTTACAATGGCTCTAGGGTGTGTCTAGGTCTTTAGAAGATTGATGTGTTGAAAACTTAATTCACTTATTTTCTAACATAACAACAAATCGTTGAAAAAAACCAAAATTTACAAATTTTCTCCTCTGCACTCACTTTTCCCCCCAATTAGCCCATCCTTATCCTGCTCGATCTCGGTTATGATGCTTCCATTGTTGTCATAAAGCGCCTAATCTGAGCATATCCCATGTCAATGCATCATGCACTGTCATGACACGGCTTTCATCTTGCCGAAGCCGCAAAGCTCGCGACACACCATGCGATCACAACGATCATCGTTGCTCGCTTGCATAATAAACAATACGATCAGAAGGATTAGCAGCAGAAGCTCAAATAAACCTGGGTCATGTTTGTTGAAGAGCCATGGGGCCAACAGCTTGAAACTTTAGACTACTGGATTGTAATGGGTACGGGCTATGTAGATGGATTTTGAAGAAAAATTGGATAAATTTGATCACTGGGTCGTAAATTGATCAATAAAGATTTAGAAATGACATTAAGTTCATATTATCAACAACTCCTTTAAAGTCATCCTCTTTGTGCCTCTGACCAGATCCTCCTCATATTTCCGCTTCAAACCTAAAATTTC